GTATAGGATTCTTTCTGTTTCCAAATCAGCATAATCAATAGTGAGTTTCGTTTAGCTACTTTTCACATTGAACTGTGCAAAAAAGCCTTTCATGACACTTGGGAGCTGGGAAACAGGAGATACACTAGTGGCATAAGCGCCTGCCTGGCAAGCACAAGGTCCTGAATTCTATTCCCTAATCCCAGAAAAAAAAAAAAAAAAAAAAATTAAATCTGGATCTTCCTAAGCGTTGTAGGTATAGCTCAATATAGAGTGTATGCTTAGCATGAACAACACCTGGGTTACATCCCTAGGACTGAAAAAACATTTTTTAAATAAATCAAAAGCTGAGTTCTTTATCTTTGTGGCTAAGTTATCATGGGATAGAGTGGATAACAACTCTTAGCTGTGTTGATGTATTAATTGAAAGTGACTTAAAATGGTACACAAGTTTTGTTTTCTCAAATAAAATTTATGATCAATTCTTCATTTTTTGTAACCATTGTTAGTGGTTGTTTGCCTTATAATGACAAGCAGCCTCAGTCCTACCAGAGCATAATAGTGGTGAAGAGATAAAAATATTCACTATAGCTGGGAGCAGGAAGAAATCTGGAATAAAGATGGCCGGGGTTCAAGAGCAAAGACTCTCAGCATCAGCTCTCCCTTGGACTCTTGGGGAGCTTTAAAGAACACTGAAGGTGGCTCCAAGGTTTGGAAAGGCTTGGGGTACACCGTCCTCACATGAATTTGTTAAAGCTTTTAGGTGGCTTCTAGCCTGAAGCCCTGGCCTTGTGCACCACTCTGAGGAGTTCTCAGACCTCCCTGAGGACCCTGTGAAATGCAGGTGCTGGCTCAGCCTGGGTTGGGGTCTGAGGGTTCTGCAGAATCTGTGCTGGCTTGACCCTCTGTAAAGCCACATAAGCAAGGATTTGGGAGAGCTTTTCTTGGTGTTCTGGGCTCCACAGCCTAGAGCTGTGATACAGAGGTCACCAGCAGCTTCCATTGTGCTACTTGGCAGGTCTATGGCATGAGCCAACTATCTGTTATTTCAGTCTGTTTTGGGGTGTTTTACATTAAAACAGCGTTCTTCTCCTTCTATGTTGATTTTGAGCCCCTAAAATGGAGCAGTTCTCATGTTCCAACCCAGAACAGAACCATAGCAGGAAGAAGCATTGTGGCAGGTGGTGGAGAAGGAAGAAGGCCTGAGGAAAATTGTAAGGTCCCAGAATCCAGCAGAGTGGATCTGAGTTCAAAACATTGGCCATGACCTTTGTTCCAGAATGATACATTTAGTTTGGTATTTAGTTTTAAAGCCACTTAATTGCTGTTGGTTTTTGTTTTATATTTGTGGTACTACGAAACAAGAGCAGGACTGGGCCTGCGCTAGGCAGGCAGAGCTGCTTCTCTCACCTCCCGATGTGTAGTATGGCGCTTGGTTGTATTTTCAGGACCAGTGGAGCGTTGCTGATGCACAGACCAAGCTACCACCTGACAGCAAACCCAAAGGAGAGCTCAGCAACTCAGAGACCGCCCAGGGCCAGCAGACCACGACCATGAAGAAGGCCAGCCTTTTTGAAGAGGATGATGAAGATGATCTGTTCGCCATTGCCAAGGACAGGTGACGTAGTCAAGGCAGGAAACCCTGGCTCCGTGTCTGCAGTGGCAAGAGAAGGTTTGGAATATGCAGGTCAGGCAGTGTGTGGTTGTCACGACAGATATACAGGTCTTCTCCTCAGTGCTGGAAGTGCTTGTTTTCTTAAATCCTTGCTTGATTTATTCCCTCTCTCATTTATTTTTACTAGCTTGGGAATTCTGTCTTGGTTTATCAGTGGTGTAAATACTTCCTGACCTGTATCTTTTTGTATTTTCTCTGAGGTATCCTAAAGATAGTAAAGTTTGGTCTGGGTTATTTGAAAATTTGTCACTTCCATAGAAGTGGACTTAGCATTGGAAAGTGTCCTGGTAGAGGACAGCTGTCCACAGATCTATGGTACCCACTGGTGGCAAGAACCCTTGCCATTGGTACATTGCATAATGTTGTCTTACTGGTTATTCATTGTATGGGATGCAGACATGATATCCTGTCCACGAACACTATTGGAACAAATCTTTCTATTCATTGAGTTGGGAGAGGGTAGCTGTGTATCTGTCCTATTTTGTTTTTTTGTTTTTG